AGTTGTTTGTGGATAGACAATTCTATACATGTGAGACAGACGAGTGTACAAAATGTGTACACCAAGAATTTTTGTATTCCAAAAGGTCGAATCACCAATCATCAACCCAGTGGGGATCCACACCCCGATCTCATAACGCATTTGGGAGGTTGTAAGTCACGGTTCTAAACTCCATTAAAATCCATGTTGGGGACACCCCCCTTAGCCAGCACAATGATGGTAGATCTTTTAGACTTTTACTCGTGCGCACCAGATGTCCAGTCCAGCACACAACAACGGTAACTTCCACATGGCCGCTACGGATTTTGATCTTTCATCAATGTTGCAACTTTCTCACCACTCAACCAACTAAGCTACCCGTGCGGGTAACAATTTTCATTTCTATAGATACATTCAACGAGCACTTCTAACTATGTTAGCAAATCGAACCGGCCGGATCGACTAGAAACTCGTTGATGTGGTCAATTCACCGCTCATGTACATGCTTTAAATGAAATAAGGAAAAATTGATAAGAATAATCCCACTTTTCACTAGTTTTCTCATAATAATCCCACATTTATATAATCCCAAAATAATCCCACCTTTGTACCCCATCTTCTTTCATTAGACCCTGACCAAGTTTTTTACCTTTCTTTGAAAATCTTATATAAATAATCTCACATTTATAAAGATATAATAAAAAAGTGAAAGGTGATATTTTTTATATTATATGATTTTCAAAAAAAGAGGAAAAAACTTGGTCAGGGTCCAATGAAAGAAGAGAGGGTGCAAAGGTGGGACTATTCTAGGATTACTTAAAGGTGGGATTATTATGAGAAGACCAATGAAAGGTGAGATTATTCTTGTCAATTTTTCCATGAAATAATACCAAACCCCATAAACTCCTATCTAAATCAAGTAGAACTGGGCAAAACCGGTCAAATTTAAGATTAATTTAGACCATTTCTATGAGACACTTTTTAAAAATAACCAAAAACATGTTGAAATTAGGAGGCTACCCTTAGAATAGAGCATATGTATCTATTTTCTTTACTGCCTTTCTCTTTGTCCCTTATAGTCGTGAGTTTATCCAAATAAAAATAAAACGAAGTTTTCTTATGTCCATCATCTTCTTGCTTGCGCCTCTTGAGTCTGATGCCCTTGTTTTCCATCATCTTCGCTAGTCAACATTACGTAGCTGAAGAAGTGTATATTCATTAAGTATTGATTGGCACTAAAAGATATTGAAGATGTTTTGTATTTCAGCTCATAACTTTACATCGCTCTATACCTATTTGGACATACACAACTCACTTATTGGTACTCATACTTTATCAAGTTGTTCAACTCATACTCAAATAGGACTATATGTTATACCTACTCAGTTAACCCATTCTCCCAACCTTTTTAACATATGACATATCACAACATACATTTTTCAACCCAACTTACCATTTTCCACCCATTATATACTCTTTTCAACCCATACTCTACCCTATTTGACCCCATTTTACCCATATTTAACAAATCCATTTCATCTCATTTAAGCATATATAAGTCGTCTATATTCATGTATTTTCTTACCTACCATATTTAATCACATTCTTTTACCAAAAACATTAATGGTAATCTTTATTTTATACAGATGTGGCTCTTATACAGTTGTATGTTATGTACGGTGGACAATGGAAGATGAATGAAAAGGATGAGTATTACTTTCAAGGAGATCATAAGAAGATTACATCATTTGAATGGGATGACTTGAAGCATGAGTTTGATTTATTATGTAAATGCATATATGAAGAGGTTGGATTTAGTCCGTAGTCACATAAATTACAGGCGTCATTTCAAATTCCACATTTTGGCATAAAAAGATAGTACCTCCACATTACAGGTTTCAAGTACCTTTTAAAAGATAAGGAAGCACAAAGTATGTTGTTGAATGTCTAGGTTAATCAAGTAGAAATGGCACTTGAAAATAAAAAAGTGACATTGGATTAAGGATCTACATGAACCATGTAAAGTTGGTCTAAAAGTAGTGTATGATGACTCCTTTGATGGTAATATTGTTTAAGACTATAAAGCTTCAGGACATGATCAATAAGACACTGGCCTTAGTAGAACCCCAACATATTGTAGCAAAGAATGGTTTGTGAGGAGTCTGAAACACTTCTAAAGAGAGTGTTTCTAATTGTGAGCATTGGGACAATGATTATCAAGGGACAAGTGTGGACATTCAAAAACTTGCACTTGAGGATGATATAATTTGTAATGGAACCTTTAAGGATAACTTGAATTTTGAAAATGGTGTTGATTCGGGGTAATTTTGAAACCAAAACGATAAAATGCGAAAGGACAAGTCCTTAAATGTTTAAATGGCAGTTGTGATTGGATGATGCATGCATCAAATACAAATAACTCATCCAAATTTGTGATCGAAGATATAACAAGGTTCACAACTGCTCGACTGGAAGTCGCAATAGACTTGTAGGGGATACAATTTTGTCTATTCTAAGTGGTTCACAATATTCCATAACCTATGCAAATACATAGTTAGGTAGAAAGCACGCTACTGAAAAAGTGTTTAAAGGGCCCAAGGACAGTTACAAGCTATTATCCTTATATTTGCACATGTTAAACAAATGTATTGATGAGACTATTATCGGACACTTGGAGGTTGATAAGAACCAAAAGTTCAAGTGTCTCTTTGTGCATTTTTTTGCATGCATCAGTGGTTTTCGAGCGGTGAGGAAGGTTGTTGCTATCGATGTATGGTACATTCTTACAGGTGTCTTGTAATACATAAGATTAGTTTAAACGGATTAATTAATAGTAATATTTGCACCAATAAGGTGCATATTCTTTTAAGGGAGCTCATATGTAAGAACTTCAAATTAAGTGTGATCGCACAAGAGTAATCTTAGGATGGGTGACAGCAGGAGGTTTTCCAGGCTACGCATGAGTGAGGACAAAGTGCGCAGTGAAAACATGCATATTCATGATTTGTGAGGATAGTACTAGGATAGTACTAGGTCTGGAGAGTATTCAATAGTAACGACCTTGGACCTCGTGGGAAGAATATCACCAACGTGATGACCGAAAATGTTATTTATGCTTTGATACATAAGCTTGTGTGAAAATATCTAAAAGTAAATACACATCCACATAATATACATGGAAGTGTAATTAAATCAAATATGATTAATTTTTTATTCACAAGTGCAGATAGGAGGGTTTACCCCTAATGATCAAGTGTAGATACAGGGCAAATTTAGGTTGGAATATCATTTATATAGAGATTTTATGATCTTGAGTGGATGCGTATCAAGTGTTTAACAATGTAAGTTTATTAAACAATTACAAGATATTTGGTCCCAAAAAAACAATTACAAGATATAGAGATAATACTAAAATATTATTTAGATTTTATAATTACCATATAATCAAACATTCTATCATGAGGGGAGTACAATTTTTTTACCATCATATTGGTGATATGTATTCATTATATACTAGATTTTACTTCATAAAAAAACATAAAAATATCTTCAACCATCATGCTCATGATATTCAACCCATTACATACTCATTTCTTTGTATTCTACCCCATATTTTAACCATTCTACACTAATTCTACCTGTAATAAAAATATAAAACATCTTCGATCATCATACTCTAGATTCTGCCTGTAATAAAAAACATAAATAACATTTTCGCCCATCATGTTGATGGTCTTCAACCCATCCTATACGTACCTCTTTTCATTTTACGTCATATTCCACTCATTCTACACTAGATTATATCCATAATAAAGAAGCATAATTAACATTTTCGACCATTATATTGATAGTCTTCAACTTATTCTATACTCACTTCTTTCCATACCACACCATATTCTACTCGTTACACTAGTCTTAGGGAGTGTTTGCAACTGCTTAAAAGGCGTTTCTCGACTTTTGGTTTAAAAATGTTAGAATTAATGTTTTCAAGTGACAACTTCTACTTTAAAAAGCGTTTCTCGGCTTTTGTGCGAAAAATGTTTTTTACTTTTTCTATTACACAGAAAGCACTTATTTACCAAACACTATCAACTTTTACTGTTGTCAAACACTCAACTTTTGCAACTAATCACTTTTTCCAAAATCACTTCCAAAAGTGTTTTTTAAAAGTGCTTTTAATTAGACTACTTAGGGAGTGTTTGTCATTGCTTCTACTTTTAAAAAGTGATTTTTTGAAGTGATTTTGGAAAAAGTGATTAATAGTAAAAAGTGGTAACGTTTGAAAAAAAAAGTGATTTTAAAAAAGTAAAAGTTGGTAGCGGTTGATGAAATAAGTGCTTTTTGTGTAATAGAAAAAGTGAAAATCAGTTTAAAACACCCCCCAACCCCTTTCAACTTTTAGCTGCTAAGTACTTAATTTAAGTAAAAACTGTCACTTAAAAGCACTTGTTTCAACTTTTTTTTAAGTCAAAAGGTGAAAAACACTTTTTAAATTTTTTGCAAACACTCCCTTGATGAAGATGAAGGGTGTTTTCTTTTGGATTATTTTCCTTTCAAGATCAAACCAGACTAGACCTGATCAGATCAGACTAGACCAGACTTTCATAGTTATAAAATACACAGAGACCGGACATTTACCGGACCAGACCAGACCAGACCAGACCATCAAATTCTAGTCCAAAAGAAAACATCCGAAGTTCGAATGGGACAATGTCGAGGAGACCGTCTAGATATTGACATTGCAGGGAAAAACATACCAAAATTCTATACTGTTATAGATTATATTCATAAAAGTTATCACTCCTATTTTGAGAATGAAAATATGGCTGTCGTATTTTAAAAATTTCAAATTTTTTTACTCCAATTTCAGAATTTTTTTCAAAATTTTACTTTATTAATAAAAATTAAAGGGAAACGTTACGAAAAGGATAATATTCTGTTTTTTGGCAAGGATCAATGGCGGCCAGGCCTCTCTCTATGACTCTATACACTCCATTCGGCCTTCTCTTTCTGTGGCCCTACAAAAAATCAATAAAAAAACATCTCATGCTTATCCATATGCATCTATATGATGAGTCATATCGTACAAATTCTCCTTAAAACGATCGATGACAGAATATCCTAAATCCTACAGCGTTTCATGAGCGAATAAAAAATGCTGAGATCGGTTGTTTTGAACCCTCTTCCGCCATTGCCGTCTTATTTAACTGTTTATTCTGAAGATTTGAATAAAAGCAACGGCTCGAGAACAGCCATAAATCCGTCGACAATCCGATGTGTTTCCCGAAGCAACGGTTCTATACCTAAGCGCGAGCCTTTTAGCAGGAGCAAGTTCGACAGAATCGTTAAAGACCCTCCTCTCATTCAGAAGTGCGAAAGCGAAATCGCAGGTGCGACAGATTATTGGGTGTATTCTTTTGAATTTTTTGGTTGTTCGGCCATGTGTAGGAAACTGAGTTTGTATTTTTTGTTATTATGTAATCTTCAGATTATTGCTCTGTTCTTGAAGGGGATGCTTCGTATAGCTGCTGGAGGGCCTATTTTGAACTTAAGGATCTTGAAGTAAGCCAGTGCTCCTTTTTGTCTCAAAACAGTTTAAACAAAATTTTTCTTGCTTCTTTATGAAAAGCGTATTTTTGTATCAACTAGCTGAAAGATACTTTTGTAAGCTTTTTAATAACCGTTAGCTTTTAGTGACCGTTAGCTTTTAGTGACCAAAAAGATCTTAAAAAGAAAAGGTGGTAACTGCTCGGTAAAAAGCTGACTGTTTGATTTTGTTCGGATTGATATACAAGCTGCTGGGACTAATTAATACTAAAAGTCACGAGCTTTTCTCAGATACTACTCCATGTAGCATCTCAAAAAAACTTTTAATTTTTGAAAAGCTCTTAAAATTTGTCATGCCAAACATACAACTAAAAGCTTTAAGAGACTTTTTGAACAGTCAGGGGCGGAGCCAGAGGACTGGGCCGATACAAAGAATATTTTCAGAAAAAAATACACGAAATTTTTTAAAGCCAATTTTAAAATTTGGGGTGGGTCATGGCCTATGTTGGCCCACCTCTAGCTCCGCCCATGTAAACAGTACAAAAGCTAGAAGACAGAGACTTATGTCTGCCAAACATAACCTTAATGAGAATAGATCTTATGAGATAAGCATAGAGCCCACTTGACAATCCCCTATTTTTTTAATACAACAGTTTTAATTGTCGAACCATTAAAAATACTTTTTAAGTAAGATTTGAATGTACTTTAATGGCTGAAATTGCTTAGGAGGACTGTTTTATCGATGTTTTTTCATATAGTTTTTTCTTTATTTTATTAACTTTGCCAACTTTGTATTGGAATGAAATTAGAAAAAAACTGTGTGTTTGAGATTTGGGCACGAGAGAGAGAAATGAACAAAGCCACAAATTCATTGTTTTAAAAGGAAAATAGTAAAGTTTTTTGGGATAATTTGATTTGCATCCCATTTTAAAGTCCAAATTAGATTTTGCACCCCTTTTTAAAAAAACTTTGTATTTGCACCCGACCCCGTATGAAAAGACAAAATGCCCCCATTAACAATTCTGTTGGTCTTTAACATAAACGAGGTACTTTTTTGTCTTTTTCATATGGGATTGGGTGCAAATATAAAGCTTTTTTAAAAACGAGGTGCAAAGTCTAATTTGAACAATAAAATGAGGTGCAAACTCAAATTACCCCAAGTTTTTTGAACAGACGAAAACAGAAAGTTGACGAAGTCCGGTGTATGAAGGGTGCATTTTTTTTCACATTCCTACTGCTTATCCTGAATATCATTAATATCAATTTTAGGTTAAGTTGATTCATCAATTTCACCCAAATTCAGTGTTATCCAATAGTCTCTTAAATGCTACCTCCTTCTCATTCAAAAGGTCCCGTCCACTATTCACATGATCAACTTAAATCATTCTTAATCTTTTGCTTTAGATATCAAATTTTTATCAAATTGACATATTTTTATCAGACTTTGTAGTGGTTTTAATGTAGTTTCTAAATATGTAAATTTTATTTACTAAAAATAATCATAGTGTGCGCAGGTATTAAGTTGCTTTATCGTCAGTCAAGCATCGTAAACCGTAACGGGAATCTCTCTATGGGACGGAGGGAGTAATTTGTAATAAAATACACATAATAACAAAACAATATAAGCAAAGGTAAACCTGATTTAAATTGACGAGTCTAAAGCATAGCGATTTTTAGCCCAATTGAAATGAAAACCAAGAACTATATTGTGGCTCTTGGTTTAGGGGTCTTTAAAAGAATGTTATAAACAAGTGTAGTATAACTCTGACAAGGACTCTTCTTCAACTCTATAAAATTAAATTTAGTTAAATAGAATAAAGTTTTAAAAATACACTCCCTTCAATCCCATGTTTAGATGCCCACCTCTTATCACTTCTTACTCATGGTAATAAGTTTGAGAAAACTTTGACCTCTATTTAAGACATATTCTCTTGGATTGAATTTTGTTGCTCTTGGTCCGGTCTATGTTTAGGTCCGGTCTATTTTGACATTTTGTTTAAGTGGCTTGGCTTGGTTTGGTAACTTTTGTTACTCACTACTTGCTTCGTATTATGTGATGTTGATCTGGTTTGATTTGTTTGAATCCTATCAATTTTGTCTCTTTGAACTTTGGTCGGATTTTAGACTCAAATAAGTTCAAGTGAAGTCCTTATTTGTAAGGGAGGAATGCTTACTATCAAGTGGGTTCTTGTTATAAAATTTTCTGAAGTGTTTGAAGTTCAAGAGAACTCCAAGTTGTTTGAAGTTCCACAATCAAATCTATAAATAGTGTTCAAGTATTTCCAAAGAATCAAGATAAATGGTTGTGTTTTGTAATGGATCAGAAAGAAGAACCCAAGGAGGACGTGGAGAGGCTAATCCTGCAAGCGGGTGGAGTGAAATCCCTGATTGGATGCCTGCATGGAATCGCAGCCATGCAGAAACCCGTGAAAGGAAGGCATGAAGCCGAAAAGCCTACATACAGTGTAAAGAAAGAAGAGGAGAGGTTATGCCGTGTGCCTGATGGGTTGCCCAAGTCAAGAGAAGAAATTGAAGAAGAAGAGAAAGCTTTGATGCCAGATTCAGCCTTCACAAGATTACTGAGGAGTAAAGGGAGAGCCCCTGCATGGTACTCTCGCGCTCCAGATCACTAAACTGGTTGATAATTTGATACACCCATCTTTACAAGGGTAGTAGTCATTGACTCATAGTGTGCGTAGTACTTTAGAGTAGTGAGTATACCGGGGCCGTAGCTCACCTGGTAGGAAGGGAGTGCCACAAGGGAGAGGTCTCGGGTTCGACTCCAAACAATGAAGCCCCACTCTCTTTCCATTAGTGTGGGATCAAAGCTCAATTTTCATCCTCTTAGCTAGTTGTACAGTCGGTGCTGGGGGTCCTCAGGGATGGGGTGTCAGTTTGACAAGTACTTTTAGTATTACGGCCTAAAACTGTTAGCCATTAGCTTGTCCCGTTAGTGTCTATGATTGATCAATTGATCAATTTAGCCAATTAGCCCTGATGGTATAACTTATTGCCGAAAGTGTTTGGTAGGACCGTAGGACTATGTATGTCTGTAAATAGTTGTTAAGTAAAGGTAAATGGCGCATAAGGACATGTCTTCATTTATGCAAAATAATTTAATATTATTCATGTTATTATTATTATTTTATATAGTCCTTTTTGTTATAATGCTTATATGAGAAGAAAAATTGTCTCAAAATAAACGTAATTGTGAAATCAGAAATAATACACCTTAAAAAGTCCTTTACCCCTTCCCACTTTCTTTTTCGCTCTTTAATCCTTTGTGATTGATAACAATATAATTTTTTTCTATCATATGCTAGAATGTTTTTCCCTTACCCCACCGTAGGTGGCTAGGTGCCTTTGCGGCATTGGGTTAATGTAGGGGTGGACTCGGGCCGGGCGGCCCGCCCCGGAACCGGCCCGACCCGGTCACTATTTGAACCGGCCCGAACCGCCGGCCCGGCCAGGGACCGGTCTGGGTAGGCTCGACCCGCTGGGGTTCCGGTCCGGGCTCGGGCCCCTGAAAAGGTGAACCGGCCCGGCCGGTTCGGGCCCGGTCCGACCAATTTATATTTTTTAATTTTTTTTTGAAATTTTTTTAAGTTTTTGGGTTGGGCTGGGTATTTTGGGCCATTTGAGGTGGTTTGGTGTGGTTTAAGGGTGAGGGGGGAGGGTTGGGGGTTAATTAGGAAAAGCCAAAAAAAATTAAATTGAATCGAGGCCCGGCCTAGCCCGGCCCAGCCCGGCCCGAACCGGATTCGGGGGTTACCCGGGCCAGTTCCGGGTCTCCCCTTTCATGAACCGAGGCCCGGTCGGGCCCGAGCTCGAACCGGCCCGAGTCCACCCCTAGGTTAATAATGATGATATATGCTAGAATGTTTTTACTTAAATTGATTTGAGTCTCATATCAAATCTGAGTAGTTTACAATAGACTCAATCGGATTCAAACAAGCTATATATTAGAGTTGAATTGATTTAAAGAGGGGGAGCCTATGTCACACACATTTCATGTGTGACCGTGCATAGACCTATGATTGTTGCGGACCAACGGGAATACTTGGCATGGCGGTAATGCGGGTGGTAATAGTATGCATTATTCTACCTTAGATGATTTGGCTTGAATGCTTAATGGAGTAAGGTTGAAGCTGATCTATTATCGCTCTCTTGATGAGCCCATGGCACTATGGCAGGGCGAAACTAGTTGGCACCATATGAGGGTAGGTTGGTCGTTTGGATATCGTGGCGCCCCCAGATGCCACACAAGAATTGACAGCTGCATCATATTTTATACCCGTGACAAGACCATAAAATTTTTATTCAAGTGCAAACATCTCATCTTTTAGAAAGACTTCATTTGAATAGCGCCAACGCGTACACACATGAAAAAAATATGTTTATAGGCACTCATTTTCATTTAATTTTGCCTCCTATCGTATCTCATTGAGGATGAATAATGAACTATGGAAGTCTATAAATGGTTATCAGGCTGCATCTTGAATTGAACTAAAGTTTATGGGGCAAAATGGTGAAAGAGGGAAGGGTAAATTAGTCTTTAAATAGATTTTTGATAGTGTATATTGGCTCAGGCTCACCGCCCACGTCCTAGTCCCTCTTCCCACATCCTCTAGAGACAACTTTGGCCCAGTCCAGGGCAGACATTGATGGCACCCTTCAGCCCGACCCATGTGGGGGTGATAGGTTACTCATTTGGGCAAACCACAAGTTGTGACCAAGGAACTCTTGGAGCATAAGTACCAACGTTACATTTGCATCAGACTCTTCGACTACGCCCCTTAGTCATGCTTTAGGATGAGGTGTCGACATAAGAGTCAACACCACAACCAACGGAGTAGCGATCTCCAAGCATTAATGACACCACAATGTGTCACCACCATACTCGTTGATGGGCCTGTCCGCGTAGAGTAGTAACATGTGTACAGGTATTTAATGCACTTCTCAATTAGGATGTTTCAATACTACTAAAATTTTATAGTCTGACTGGTGTAAAGCCCGGGGCAATGCCCCAGTAGTGACGCGTCAATTTGTCAATCATTCATGGATACAAAGTTTAATATAACACATTTTTACTATGATCTAACCACAAATAATAATAATTTTTTATATTTTAAATGACTATATATTAAATTACACATCAACATATATCATATATTTACTCTTTGGTCTATATCAATTTTTTTATTGTGGTAGCATTGCGGTTGTGGTCACTGCGGCTGCGGCTATTGCAGCTGATGCGCTGTAATTCAATTTTATGTTTGAACGAAATAAGAAAATAATTAGCGTTGATGTCATGATACAATCCGATATAGCCTCTTTGGCTCTTTCCGGCCACCTTATATACGGTTTCGTTGGGTTACATAGTAGATTTCCCCGTGAATTGAAATTGCACCTCCATTGTGGCCCGATGTGTTAAAATAATGTTAATATTTATTATGCCAATTTAATAAGAGAGTCACACGTAACATTTCATAATTCATGTTTACTATATAGAACAATAGATAATACGGAATCAGGTGTTTTAGATTTTTTTAATTAACTAAAAAATGTAAACATTAATTATGAAATCTTAATTTTATTATTTTAATCTACTTAAAATAGTTTTGGACTTTAAAAAATAGTTCTAAGCTTTAAAATCTTCATCAATTGGATCTTTAGACTTTTTATTTTTACATTTGCAATATTGGTGTCATATGAAAGATCATAAAGAGTTACAAATTTTGATATATTTTTTATGAAAATTAGAGTACAAATAAAAAAGTTATAACACTTTAAAAGTTAGAGATTTTTTCTCCTCCTTTTCTCCAAATGAGTTGGCCTAATTAATGTGAATAGATATTCATGGACCGTGTGAACTGGTATTGGCACTTGGGAGAATTAATTAAATGTTTTAGTAAGAGTGATAATCAAATCTTTAGTAACCAATCATTGATTGACACACCATTGATTTATAACTCAGTTTTACTATATAAAACAATAGATATCATTTTATTATCGTTATAGTTATCCTTACTTTTTATAATTATGATTATCATTATAATAAGTGTTACCAATACCATTAATTATAATATGCAGTTTTACTATTATAAATAAATTATAGATACCAATAACCTGCACATTTATAATAATAGTCACTTATGAATACTAATAGCAATAAATGTACATTAATAATATATAGTCAAATAATAATATTTTCATTGATAATAACCATAGTAATAATATATGATATTTTATGAATAATAACATACAAATAATGACTAATAATAACCACTGTATTCAAAATTAATTTCATTGGAAGCAACGTACGCTAATGACCTACAAAAATATTTAGGTTAGCACGGAATCATCATAATCGTAAAAGTAACAAATTATGTCTTAACCTTTCTGATTTGATCCGAATGTTTCTGGTCTAATCTGAATTTTTCTTGTTTAATCTTATCTAGATTGAATGATAATCTTATTTGACTTTTTATCTGATCTTGTCTGAATGAAATAGGAATAAGTAATACAGAGTAAATAATAAGAATAAGAATAAGAATAAGGGTAACATAATAGCTTCTAAGGATATGTTTTTTACGTTTCTCATACCTTTTCTCTATACTTTTCCATAAGTTGTTCCATCTCTATGTTTTTATGTGTGGAGTTTACATAATGTCAAGTGTTAGTTATTTAACGTTTTTCTCCTACTTTTGTTTTTCTCTATTTTCCATTGTAGTTGTTCATCTCCTTTTTGTTTGAAACTAATTAAATATTATCATATATAGTACTGATAATAGATTTTTGTTAATCAATGATAGCGTGACATGTCAGCAATTTGTAGTCCTACTTTACTAAATAAAAAAATACATTTAAATGTATAATAAAAATTGAATTCCTAATACATGTCACGACTGCTGTGTAAATGTGCACTTACCATAAAGCACATTTTAACTTGAATTCCACTATAAATTTGATATATCATTGATTTATATCGCATTTTTTACAATTTTTTTATATGCAGTATGTTGTCATATTAAATATCATAAAAATTTATGATTTTTTATATACTCTTTTTGTACAAATAAATAAATTATAATGCACTAAAATAAGACTTCTTTTATCCTTTCCTTTCTTCAAATGAGCTGGGATGCATGTATTGAGTAGCAATGATGAATCGAGTCAACTTGTATGAATTAATTTTTTTAGTAATAGTGATAATAGAATTTCTATTAATCAATAAAATTTTTAACTCATTTTTGCTATATCAAATAATGGATATTTTGTGTGTGTCTATATATATATATATATATATATATAATATTAGTATCATATGGAAGATCTTAAAAAGTTATGAATTTTGATATGTTTTTTGTAAAAATTTGATTATAAACATAAAAGTTATATCACTTTTAAAAAGAGAGATTTTTTCTCCTCCTCTTAGCTTGCTCTAAATTAGTTGTGATGCACGGTTTTAAGTGTGGTGAACATTGAAATAATTAATTGTTTTAATTGTAGTGATAATAAAATTTGCATTGTCCAATGAGAAACTGTCACATCATCGTTTTAAAACTCAAGTTTACTATATAAAACAATAGATTTGCATTGCCCAATGAGAAGCTGACACATCATCGTTTTAAAACTCAAGTTTACTATATAAAACAATAGACATGGTATGATCTAGTCTGTTTAAGTCTAGTCTGGTCTAGTGGATGCCTGATCTATGTGTATTTTAAAACTATTGAAGTTTGGTCTGATCTATTTAAGCCTATTCCGGTTTGGTCTTTTATGGGATTGAAACCGGTCCAAGTAAAATCATCCTTATTGTTACTATAAATAAATAAATATCCCTATGTTGGACAGTTGTAGGCACAAGTGTCCCTAGTTCCGGATCAAACCGGACTGCCGCTTCCCGATTGCAAGTTTTTGGGAACCGGAATCGCATAGTACCAGTTCCTAAACGTTTACTTGGTCCGGTATCTTTATTTTATACATATTAATGGTTCGATAGTATTTATATATGTGGTTTATATCTTTGTGATTGAACATTGAGTATAATTTTTCATGATTATTTTTGTGTAAATATTTTGATCAAGTGGTAAGAGGCCTATTAACATCATAAACACAAATAATTTTTTAAATATTGCAATGTTA